GTGCTCTCACCACAATAAAAGAAAAAGATATGAAAGGTAACTACGTGAGGAGATGGAGATATTAATAAGCTTGACTATAGTCATCATTTTACTACGTATATGTATATCAAAACACTATGTTTTACAACTTAAGTACAATTTTTATTTTAAAAATAAAATAGCATAGATAAAGCCAAAGGAAAGAAGACAGGCAGATGTATTTATTTCTGTAGGTAAGGAAAAGTAAAGAAGGAAAAAGGAAGCATAACCAGATGTGTCCTCATTCTGAACTTTGTAATAGAAACCATCAAAACAAACAGGATTATCAGCAAAGTACAGTGATCTATGAAAACTTCAGAAAAAATATAGTGAATGCCTTATTATTAAATAGGAAAATAAATTCTAAATCTGTTTGAGAATTCTAGCAGCCCAGTGTTGTAATTACAGAGAAATGAGGCAAAGTTCTCCTTGGAGCAGGCCAATCAGTCATAGAAAGTTTCACAGGGTGGCACTACTTTGAATGGCTTACACAAGCTTAAGGTTGTGACCTGTCTCAGTTTGTGGGTGTAGAAAATTTATATTTATCAAAATAATCAGGGCATAGAGAGACAATGATCTCTAGGGACTATCTCGCAGTAACCAAATTTTTAAGAGTCTGATATGTAAACTATAATTGGGATTTATAAATTTATAATAGTGGCTATACTGATGCTGACTATTTAAGTTACCCACATTCTACATCAAAGGACGTAGGAAGCTGAATTAAAAGTCAGAGGGTTGCCAATGAACACAGAATCAGAACAAAGGGGAAAGGAACAATAACTTAAATGCCATAGCTGAGCAAATGTCATAAGGAATAAGGGCTTTGTGGTTCTGGTGTGAAAAGCCAATTTATCCTCATCGAAATCTGGTGAAAGTCTTAGATTCAGTTTATTTCCTTTTATTAACATGTATTTTGACAGAACTCTTTTGGTGGACTGCTGCTGATGAAAACCTATTGTTTTCCATTCTACTTCTTTTATCTGAGATCAACATGAAGACTTCACATAAAACATTGCAGTGTCTGTGCTTAGGATTACAGGCCCGTCTTCCTGCCACAATTGTTACATTAATCAGAGGTTGCCTTCTGCTCGCCTGCCTTGTCTATCGCCTCCAACTTAGGTTGATAAACAGGTGCTATCTGGATATCCTACTACCATTCATTCTTTTCATCTGTATCTGCACAGAGTTGTGTCTGCTGAGTACTTCCTCAATGCTAGCAGACTGGCTGGCATCCAATCTGGACAAATTGCTTATCTTTCCTGCCACTTAGCATTAAATAGGGCTTCTATGGGGCATTGGGCAAATAGTGCAAGAAACCATATTCAGCATCTAAAGATTGGTTGACATTTCTTCAGTATACATAATTTAAGGAGTGTCACTATCTAAAAGCCCTTCAAGTTGGCCCAGAACTTGGCATTATAGCATCCTCTACTTAGACCTAAAGCTGTACATAATCTTGTAAATTACTAGAGACAAGACCATCTGAGTCCTAGATGACCAACACACTCAACTATAATTGACGGCATTAATATAGAGTAGGAATGAATAAGTAGAAGGATCAATATGGTACCATATATAACCTACATGCAAAATACATAGAAATCATTTGCTTGCCCCGATAATTCTGTCAGCTCCTATGAGCCTTCCAGAATAACTGGTTCTTGGTGCCTGGAACATGGTGAGGTATTTCAGAGTATGATGACAAGGAAGACTGAAGTAATTGAATCTGCCTCAGGAAAGATTTGCTTGCCAACATGGGACTTAAAATAAGGCAATGCTTTTAGTGTAGGGAGCTTGGCTGGAGTTTTCTATTTCAGGGCAAAAGCTGGCCTAAGTCTCTGAGATGGCTGGAGGGGAGTGTGGTATCCATTCCCCCTAAAAAAGGGACAGGGTGAGCATAATAGCTGTATTGAAGGAAAAGTGGGTTTTCTATTTGAAAACTGAAAGAAAAAGGAAGGAAGGAAGGAAGGAAGGAAGGAAGGAAGGAAGGAAGGAAGGAAGGAAGGAAGGAAGGAAGGGAGGAAATCAAATATAGAAGAGACGATGGGGAGAAACAAACACTTGATCCCAGAAATGGGAATGTGTGCATGATGTTTGTACATATATATAACTACATGTAGAAATGTGCATGCAGATACATGTAGATATGTAAAAATATGCACACTAGTAGTAGTAAGTGTAGCAATGAAGTGTACATAGTAAATGGATGATTAGCTTCTTCTAATAACACTGAAGGCAGCTTGGATTTTGGAAGATGATATCAGAAAATATTACTAACTTGCTATTCACCCCTTCCTCTTTCCTTTTTCTGGGACCCCTTTGTGGTTATACCTGGCAATCGTAATGCATTGACCAAGACGGCGTGAAATGACTCAGCTTATTTGATGGCAATGATGTCACATTTATAGAGTCCCAACATGAGGGATACAGATCCTGACCTCAGTCTCAGGTGTCTCGAAAGGTTCCGCAGTGTCTGGAGGAACATAGCTTACGTATTCAAGGAGAGGGGATTTTAAGGTATATAACTTAAGCCTGCTTATGTTGGTTTCTCCCTGCATGAGTTTTAGCTTTTTGCTTTCATATTCCTCTTCTTTTTCTAGAGAAATGATCAATCGTAACACCTCTCTGCGTACTAAATGTCCAACCAGTGGCCTTTCAGTAACTACTTTGGGGGGTAAGAAAGGCTATATTCTTAGCTGAGAAAATGTGCATCAATTTTTCTGATGGGTCAAGAGTTTTTGTAGCTTTTGGGTAGATAAACTCAGGCCTTTTGGTAACTTTTATTTTCATCAGAAAAAAACTTAAATAAAATAAATTTTTGTCTATGGTTACACAACAAAATTTCTCAATATACATTCTTAAGGAAAGGAACCTTTTCTGTGATGCTAATTGCTACTGAAAACATCCGTCTTCCAAACATTTGTAGAACCCAGTGCTGCCCAGAGGTAAACACTGCACTTATTATATGGGTTTAGTGGGTAGACAAATAAGATTTCTTGGCAACACATAAAAGGAACAGTATGTATAGAATAAAAGGTGGGACAAGCAAATGAATAGATGTATTCAAGTACAAAAAAGCCACCAATAAACATCATGATTCTAAAAGTCGTGCAAGAGAGCTTTCTTAGACTCCTTTACGCATGAGGGGAGTATGCTGGAGTAAAAGGAATTTTCTGGAAGTGTAGATATGTGAAAAATACTTTGCTATGATTATCATAAATGATCACTTTTATCATCATCACTATTTATTAAAAATGTATCCCTCAAATATATTTTGAAGGCTAAATACTGTACTTTGTATTTGGAACATAATAATGAACAAGTCAGAAAAAATCTCACCTATATCAGAGTAAGTCTATAAATAGCCAATTCTTTTTTTTTTTTTTAATTGATTGATTTTTAGAGAAAGGAAGGGAGAGGCAGAGAGAGATAGAAACATCGATGAGCTAGAACATCCATTGGCCACTTCCTGCATGTCCCCCACTGGGGATTTGGCCCACAGCCTGGCCATGTGCCCTGACTGGAAATTGAATCAGCGACCTTGTGGTGCATGGGTCAGTGCTCAACCACTGAGCCACACGGGCCAGGCTATAAATAGCCAATCCTTTCATTGGTGAAATTTTAGTGGCTTGGGACAACTCATTTGCTACTGAGTTCCTTTCACCCATCACAGTACAGATTAATTTTTTTTTTTTTTTTGCTTTTCCAGTTTCCTATACAGATTTAAATAAATATTCAAATAGCCATTTATTCATCCACTCATTTGCTCAAACAGTATGTATTATTGTGACTACTGGTGCCACCAAGTACCCTCAGTTCTGAGAGACCAGGTGTGAAAGGTAAAGTCACAGCACAGATGGGGGCACAACTAAATGAACTGTTACAGAGGGTCCAGTAAATGCAATGGTAGTGATGATGGCAGGATGAAATGGAAAGTCGGGGCAGAGCAAGCGTAGAAAAACTAACAGACACATTGCATTTTAAAACAGATTTAATATGTTTAGGAGTTTATGAGACGGAGACATGGGGGAGGTGGAGCATACAGTCTCGGGGAAGGCGTGTAAGTGGCACTGAGGGTCCTTTGATGTCAGGCAGGTGACTCCTTAACGCTTTAGGGATACAGCTTAGGGAGCAGGTATCAGCAGCTCATCAGCACGAAAAATAGAGCACAGGGTAAGGACCTGGGGTTGGGGGATGTGAGACAAGGGGACGGTAGGAATAGTATGTGAAGAAATTAAAACACTTATTAAAGACTTTTCTCGGAGTCAACGTATCACCACTTGAGCTCCGCGTTTATTTACTCTAGAACTCTGCAAAACTTCTGTGATGTTATAAAAAAAAAATTGTTGAATCTCCTTTAAGAAACTTGCAGAGATATTCGTAATGGAAGCCAATAAAGACAAATAGAAAAAGAAAGAAACCCAAATCTTAGAAGAAGGTAACGGGAAGCTGTTACACAGCATATCTTGGTAACTGAACAAAATGCACGCAATGTCATGTTTTAAATGTCCTTCCACAGTTCACGTGGCTCAGTTAGCTGTGTCCACGGAATGCTTCTTGATCCCTGGCCTCAGCAGGTACATGAGGAGGTGAGGGTGAAGAGTAAGAAAAAAAACAAAAGAACTTTTCCAAGGATGATCGGTACAATTAAGAAAGGCATTAGATTTGTCTTTGTTTTACTGTTGTTAATCAATTTTCTGAACAAGTCACTTCAGTGCCCAGAAGGAAGAGCGAGTAAAGGTGTATCACTGTCTAACAAATCGTTCACATTACTCTTGGTAATCTTTCTTTTGGATATTTAAGGGCTTGTAATGACTATCATCTTGCGGGCACTTCCCATAAGCTATATATGCATTATTAATGAAGTTCTATGACTGGAAACTTCTATCATTGCAATGACTTTTGGAAAGCATAGGTTCATTTAAACCAATAATGCATGGAAGTTTGTCACAGTTTTAACATATGCATTCTTCTTGCAGATGGTTGAAAAAGAAGGTTATCTTCAAAAAGCTAAAATTGCCGATGGAGGAAAGAAACTAAGGTAATAAAAGTTATTTAATTCACTTTTATAGAACAGTGCGTGTTCCCCATCTCAACTGTGCCATCACTGTTGTTTGGGAAGGAGGCCCTGTGGTACCAGACTAGAATATACTGTGCCTTCACAATGATCATTATTTTTACTGTAATTGTAGTTTTCCAATGAAGTTCTACATTGTATATTGCTGCACAGAATACATAAATAAGGTGCTCTTATCCTACTAGGACTTGAAATCTTTAAAAAATGCAAAGAAATAAGATAATGGGTTTTGCTTTCTGAGATTAACAGATTAAGGGATGACTGGACTTGTTTTGCAGTATATAAAAGGGTCCTCCAACGTTGGGAGCATAGTTTTTCTTTAATGTTTTTTTTTTTTCTTTATTGATTTGAGAGAGAGGGAAGGAGAGAGAGAGAGAGAGAGAGAGAGAAACATCGATGAGCGAGAACGTCAGTTGGCTGCCTCCTGCATGCCCCCCACTGGGGATCTGGCCCACACCCTGGGCATGTGCCCTGAATGGGAATCAAACTGGAGACTTCTCGGAGCATGGGCCGATGCTCAACCAGTGAGCTACACCGGCTGGGCATACTATTTTTTTTTTTAACTGAAGCTTTGACATACCTTTGTTTTCTAAATAAAAATCATTTGAGAAAAACAAAAGGAAAATAAAATCATCTGTCAGGTAAAAAGTTGGAAGTTGCATTTAGTGTCAAGATAAACACAGTAGGCGAGAGAAATTAGAAATGATGATAAGCATTCCTCAGTCAACAACAGACAAAACCTTGAAGGAAAAAAGTAAGTTTAATAGGAGAGTAGGGATATACGGTAGTATATTGTGCATGTATAAAATATTTAGAAACAATCACCTCCATTTCAGAGTTTTTCTTAGTTTTCATACAGGTTCTGTTACAGTTGATCCTTGAACAACCCAGAGGGTTAGGGACACCCACCCCCTCCATAGTTGAAAATCCCTATAACTGTCTCTAAAAGTGGCCCTTTGCATGGGCGAATTCAACCTTGGATTGAAAACTATTTTTGCTAGTGTTTGGGAATCTGCAGCTGGGAATGTGAAAATAGTGCTTTCCATCTGCTTGGGTGAATCTGCTAAGGTGTAACCAGCAGACAGGAGGGGCGACTGTGTTTTTGAAAAGCATCCTCACACGTGGACCTGTGCAGTTCAGCCCCGTGCTGTGCTCGGTGGCACGCAAGCTACAAAGGTGTGTAGCACGTGCTCATACTGGGAGACTAGGCATTTACACATGACTGTATCATTAACAGTCAAAGCCATGAAGGATAAATGTACTAATTAGCTAAGCAATGGAACACTTATTAATTGCATCATACAATTCATTCCTAGAATAGTATCCTGGCCAGCATTACAGCTTTTTGTTTGCTGACTATAACGGAGTATGTATATGTTTATTTTTAGAAAGTAAAATTGGAGACAACCTTCATCCAGAATTCCATCACTTAATGTAGCTGTCTCACTTCTAAAGAACAAGTTCATTTTCTAGGACAGAGAACAGGGCCCTGAATCCTCTCCTAGACTGATCCTCTGCAGTAACCTTGCACACCCCTCCTTTGAAGAGGGCGGGAGAGAGGTACACAGGAGAGAAGATCAAATGTAAGGCTGCTTTTAGACCCTGTCTCATGGAGAACCCGGCTGAGGGAGTGAGCTGGGCTCTGAAAGGGCCATAGGAGAGAATCTGACTTTCACTAGGACCAGAATACTGTCCTCCTTCCCCCTAGACCTCACTTCCAATCATATCAGCTCGCAGAAGGAGTGTGGAGGGTACAGCAATGACTCTTCCCAAGAGGAACAAGAGAGACCCTCTCATACCTTACCAGCCATGTGGACAAGAATTCCAAAAAGGGACAGAAAGGGACCCAAGGACTTGTCTAATTGATTCCTTCAGCTCTTCACCGGGGTGTGGCAGGAGAGAGGGGATGGCAGCTTTGGTTACACGTACCCTCCGGCCTCATGCAAGGAAGGGCAGGAGATTCTAAAAGCAATTCCAAGAAAACAAGATGATGCCCCATCAAAGTGGCTTTGGGAAGTGGCTTTGCTCATATATCATCCAGAAACCGTCCTTGTGAATTTTTTTCCTAGAAAGTTGTTTCAAGAAAAAGCAGAAGGGCAAAACAGAGCTCCTTCCCTACCGACTCTCATGAAATTATGTTTAGGTAGTTTCAATCAGTTTGTATATCATTTTGTGTTTGTTTTATTTGTTGTCACTTTAATCAGTTCTCATACCATGTCTGCATTCTAGTCTAAATTCACATAAACATTAGTTTGTTCTTTTACTGTTATTTCGATCACTTTGCATGCCATTATGAGTTCTTTTAGCTTTTTTAAATGTCAAGTTATATAAATTTTAGTTTTGCTTTTTTTTTTAAATGTCAGGTGCACAGAATTGAGTTGATTATGCTCTTCAGTGTATAGCCTTGTATTAACATCATCTGGGAAGGACCATAGCTGGTTTTATTTTATTCTCAGTCTCCATCCTCACTAATCCCTTGTGGAATGTATGTTCATCAAATTCACTCTCCATATATTCATTTGGCTATATATGTCATGTTCTAGAAGGTAGTGTGTAGTTGTGTGTGAGTATGTTATTAATTGCATAAGCCTTTTCATCTTATAAACCTCATTCTGTTTCTTTTTACTTTATTTGATGTTAGTGCTTGGATCTCTATATATTTTAAATGAATTCGTTTCTCCCAGTGGCTGCTCATTTTGCCATTGTGTACATGCACCAAATTTCACTTTTACCCAAGTTCTCAAGAGTGAGCGCCTAAATTGTCCCTCACTCCTTTGATCACAAACAACATTGCAATCAACCCCATCTATGGCTTCTTACTAACCTGTTAGGGATTCTCTGGTGCATATTCCAAGAAATAAAGAATTGCTTGGCTGTAAGGCACACACAATTGTAAGTCCACTGAGTGCTGCTCCCGGACGGTGCCTCAGTGAGGCCACAGGTCCACATTCCTGCAGTGCAGGAGGGCTCTGTCCGCCATGCACTTCCCAGCACACACCTCCCTACAACTCTCCGTTTTGCAAGTTGATGGCCTTAGAGCATTACTTCAGTGTTGCATTTATTTTTATTCCTCTGCTTGGTATTTCAATTGAGCATCGGTTCACCTCTCTTGAGTCACTCAGGTCCTGCTTTCTGAGAATTGCATGTGCATTAATCTTGGAGTATTTTCTATGGAGGTTCAGACTTTTTCTTTCCTTTTTTCTTTTCCTTTTTCTTATTTTTTAAAATTTATTTATTTTTTTTTGAGAGAGAGCACTTTTAATATACTTTAGGTAGTAATATCTTGCCAATTTTAGACTTTGCAACTATATCCTCCAAGTCTCTCATCATCTACTTACCTTCCTTATGAAAGTGTTCAATGACCAGAAATCTTTAAATTTGATCCTGATTGTTGCGTGATCTTACTCCATTATTCTGGGCTTTTGCTTTTGTTTGTATTACAAATATTTTACAAATTGAACATTATAGATAGAGTCACCATGTTTAATAACACACAATATTCCACCATGTTGATGGGACTGTAGTACTCCAAACCATTCCAAATCAATCAAATTTTATTTGATTTTTAAATTGATTCCAGTTTTATACCAAAACAGTTGGAATTGCAGTAAACCGAATACTTGTCAATTTTTTAATATATTTTCTTTAGATAAACTCTAAGCCTGCATTACGTGATGAAAGCACATGACCCCCCCCCCTCTTTTTTGTTAATGACTACTGTGTATGATCATATTTGTTGCATAAGGAGTCTGTTTTCACTGGCAACAAAATGATCAGTTTAATCATAACCTTAAAAGTTATGTAACTTTTAATTCCATTGATAATTTAATAACTGTTAAATAGTATACCATAGTTGTTATAATTTGCATTTTCTGTATAAAATTTCTTTGGAAAACTTTTCCCCCATTTATCAAGGTACTTTAATATATTTTGTACATTTTAATGAGTTAATAAGCAATATTAATAAATGCTTACTCTGTCAGTCACGTGCCTAAATGTTTTACCGGTAATACTAAAATAATACTCTAAGATAGACTATATTATTACTTTCAATTTTACAAGTAGAGAAACTTGGTCACTCATATTAATCTCTCCTTTCTCCTGAAACATATTTACAATGAAAAGTGTGAGTTTTATTCCTGTCCTCTGAAACAGTTCGTTTTTTCTCTCTTGCTAGAAGACTTTGGGGTCCAGGGAGCAAAAATCATTCTTTTATTTTGTACCATCAACAGTACCAAGGGTTTCAGTTGCTACTTAACAAATATTATTTTATTAATATTTATACAGTTTTTTACTCATAAATACATAATGACAGTCATCCACATCATGTACTGTGTCCTTATTTTTGTTCCTCTCCCTCCCCATTTCCCTTTTTCTTTAGCTTTTCTCTGCCATATATTTTATCTTTCTCTCTAAGAAAGGTCTGACCCATCTCTGAGTCTGAACAAGAGTGGGTGAAAGAAAGGAGAACTCACTGGCTATATTTTACACTCATTAAGGACCATAAATTTAGCCTTATTTTGAAATGAAGTTCCACAGATTCCCCCAGTGATCACAGACAAGAATTGAAAGCCAAATACATTCATGATTCAACTTTAATATTTAATTATATACATTAAAAATATGCTTTAGCTTTTCTGATGAAGTTTAGGGATTCCCTCATTTGGGGATTGCTGATCCCAAACATGAAGTAGCCCCAGCCTCTCTGAAGCTCCATGATACCCTAGTCCAAAGTATTTTCAACACTTTAGTTTATAGAAAGCACCTGACAGCATGTGTGAAATCTCAGTACCCTTATGTCTCCCTCCCACCTCTCACTTCATGCCTGACAGGTGGCCCTGCACATCTTGTCACACTTAGCTCCTCCCCCTGCTCTTCAGAAGGGCATGAGACGTCTTCAGGGGGTGGGAGGGAAGATGCACTAGAAGGCTGGACAGAGGAAGAGGCTGGGCAGAGGAGGAGGC